TCTACACTGTTACGAGGAGGCTTAGAATCTCTTTTCCTTGTCCTCTTGGTACTTGGCAGCGGCACGGTCGGCAGAGTCCTGAGCCACTTTTACGGCCTGGATGTATTCGACGTCAGTAGAAGGTAGAGAAAGAATTCCAGTTGGGACTCACAGGGTTGATGCTGTCTCCAGCGGCTTGCTGCTTTGTTGCTTCTCCAGGCTCTACGATGCCACCAAAGTATCCTGATGACCCAATGTGTCAGCCATCTCGTCACTCTTGTGAATTGTATAAAGTGATAGGATATAGTTAGTGACCACTTACCCTTTCTTTGTTCGGCATCTGAAGCCATCTCGCCTTTGATTCCCTGGCCAGGAGCAGTAGCACCCATAGCTTGCTGTTCACCAGTATTCTCGAGAGGTGGCGATTGCGGCATGTTTTGTCAAGTATTTAATAAGGGTTGTAGTTGATAGTATCGACGTTAGTTCGACGGGGTTGGGTTTATAAACCTTGACGTCTTCCCTGTTTGGGGTTGGTGACGTCGATTGCGTATTTCGGCGCTCCAAGAGGCCAAAGTGGTGCTCGCTCGTTGACCTTCGATTGACCTCATCGACACGTTCATAAGCACGTGTCTCTTATGCCAATCATTGGAGAAGGTGGATTCTGGATTCGGAATGTGGTGCGAGCGGGCTTGGGCTGAGTATGGTTCGTGAAGCCGGTATACTAGAAATTCGAAAGCCTATTGCGTCGGCATTCCTGAGTAAAATGAGGAAATTGCGTTTGAATATTCCTATGGTGTTAGGTAAAGTAGGTGATCACGACTTTGCCAATATAGCCTTCTCCGAGATATCACTGGACCAGGTAGTGGAACCAAAGGGCATTGTTCAGATCTCCATAGGCTTCCCAGTGTTTTGGACCACTCGCACTGATTGAACTTGCATTCGAGGCTCAAATAGGCCCATGGGCTCACCAATTACCTAAGCTACGCGCACACCAGGAAAGGATAGGCCCAGAAGAAGCGCGTTTCTAGTCGGCCTAAGGTGAATCTGTAAGGAATAGATACTAGATAGACATATTATATTTCTAGAGAGAGACTCACAGGAGATTGCTTGCTTGGTAATTGTAGCAAAAAGTTCGGATGACTTTGCGGGACCGCTTAGGCGGCTAGGAACTTTCGAGCAACCACCCGAAAGTGATAGAGGAGCTCAGAAATGCAGATTCTAGGGCCTTTTTGAGTAGAGAAGAATGTCCTTCATTCGATGCTAAATCATCAGGTCGGCACTAGACAGTCTCCTCTGAATTACGATCCGTAGACTGCTTCGAGATAGAGTGATTATCCATAATCATATACTCGGATTGGTACAAGATAATGCTGGGTTCCCGTCGTGGCCAATGTTCCTCTCCAAACTCAGACCCCGCCCACAACCACCACTACCAAATCGTCGACCAAACCCAACCATCCAACCGCTCAGAGCTGAACGGACTAGCCACTCCACAGCACTGTGAGATCTCTTTAAAACCCATCCAGAAAGCCAAATCATCCATCCGCCTATCGATCTGTCAACACTCCCAAATGTCTACCACCGCATTGAACCCAAACGCACCAAAGTACGTGCTCCTCATACAACTTCTCTAAACACATGCGTTTGCAATTTGCTAACGATGTTTTATCACCAGAGGTGACGCGACGTGGAGAGATGGTCTCAAAGCGCCGCCAAAAGACACTCGCGTCAAAACGCAAGACGTGCTGACAACGTCCGATGTCGAGTGGGAGGACATGTTTCTAAGCCGTGAACTGCTCATGGGAATCTTTGAAGAAGGCTTTGAAAAGCCATCTCCCATCCAAGAATCCGCCATCCCCATCGCCCTCTCCAAACGTGACATCCTCGCCCGTGCAAAAAATGGTACAGGCAAGACCGCCGCCTTCGTCATCCCCTCCCTCCAACAAGTCAACCCCAAGTCCCCCAAAATCCAAGCTCTCTTGCTCGTCCCCACGCGTGAACTTGCCCTCCAGACTTCTCAGGTCGCAAAGAATTTGGGCAAGCATATCGAAGGCTTGCAAGTCATGGTCTCCACCGGTGGAACCACCCTCAAGGATGATATCCTGCGATTGAGCGAACCCGTGCACGTCCTAGTTGGGACGCCCGGAAGGATTTTGGATCTGGCCAGCAAAGGCGTGGCTGACCTCAGTGAATGTGGAGTGTTCGTCATGGACGAAGCGGATAAATTACTCAGTCCCGAATTCACACCCATCATGGAGAGCCTCCTTAATCATCTGCCAGAAGAAAGACAGGTCATGTTGTTCAGCGCAACATTCCCTATGATCGTCAAGGACTTTAAGGTAACGAGTTTCGCCCGTCATCTCCGAACCCGATGCTAATACATTTTTCAATCTCTTCTCATAGGAAAAGCACATGCGTAAACCTCACGAGATCAACCTCATGGAAGAGCTCACCCTCAAGGGTGTAACCCAATACTATGCCTTCGTCGAGGAACGTCAAAAAGTCCACTGTCTCAACACTCTTTTCTCCAAGGTACGTTGCAAGTAGTCTCACTTATTCCATTGTCGGCTGATCGCATCCCTGCTAGCTCCAAATCAATCAATCCATCATTTTCTGTAACTCTACCAACCGAGTCGAACTGTTAGCCAAGAAAATTACAGAATTAGGTTATTCATGCTTTTATAGTCACGCAAAGATGCTTCAAAGTCACCGTAATCGCGTATTCCACGATTTCCGTAATGGTGTTTGCCGGAACCTTGTTTGCTCTGGTGCGTTCATAAAGTGTTGCTTGGAACTGCCTCACTAACACTGGCTTCTAGATCTCCTCACTCGTGGTATAGATATTCAGGCTGTCAATGTCGTTATCAACTTTGATTTCCCAAAGAATTCGGAAACTTATCTTCATCGTATTGGTCGATCGGGTCGTTTCGGCCATTTAGGTTTGGCCATCAATCTCTTGACTTATGAAGACAGGTGAGCGGTCATTTCAGCCTCATCCCATTCAGATAATATCCCTTTCCCACTTCCATCCTGAGTGACTAACGTTATCCACCTATAGGTTCAATCTCTATACTATTGAACAAGAGCTCGGCACGGAAATCATGCCAATCCCACCGGTCATTGACCGTAGTCTCTATGTCGCCGGGAGCGCTCCACCATCCTCTCTCGCCCCACCTTCGAACTCAAATGGACGCGCTGGTAGCGGAACATCCACACCATCCAATGACGCCGCAAGGAGAAGAAACACACCCACTCCCCAGCTCCAACAATCTCAATACAACGTCTCGGATTATTCGGGCAATGCTGCGATGATTGCTCGTGCTCAGGGCCCATACCAACAACCTGTCAATGCGCAGATCCAGGCGCAAATGCAACAGCAACAGTTACAACAGCAGGCTCTACAAGCACAGGCTCTGCAGGCGCAAGCTATGCAATCTCAGCAATATCAGTCATCAAACGGCGCTGAGAATGTGCGACAATACTCTAACCACCATCAAGGCCAGAGTGAGAGAGGACATGGACGAGGACGTGGTAGGGGGGGTCGAGGACGAGGTGGACCAAATGGCAATGCCACCTAAACACTTGCTCTATTGTCATAGAAAGGTGTTTCTGCGTTCTTGCCTCTATCCCATTATCCACTCTTCTTTTCATCAATGCCTCGCAATGATCATCCTCTACCCGTCATTACTCGATCTCTCTTGTCTGGTCTTCTGCACTTTTTCTTCGGCCTGTTTTCATTTTTCGATGTCATACCACCTCATCACCAACTTATCTCCCGACCTACTCTTGCGATCTCCTTCAACACCTCGACTCCGCACCGACTCATCATCAACTTCCTCTGATCCAATGATTGTATGTGAATTAACAACCCCGACCTGGAGTCGATGGCATGTAATAAAGACTGCCACCCATCTTTAACCCCATTGATCGGCACACAAACTGGTTCAACATCCTTCGTATTATCATTCCATCGACCATAATTCTCCGCTGTCACAGAAATTAACACCTAACCCAGATACATCATGATGTTCTATGGCATGCTACATCCTCCTATCTTTCTTGAATACACCTCTCACCTCCATCCAATTAGGCGAGCGATCGCCGTGTACTAGTCTCCGTCATACTATCCATCCCATCTCCACCGACTAGGCGCAGGAGCATCCCCTGCTCCATCTCCTCTTTCTATTGTCACCCCCCTCTACCTTGTCGCCACCTCATCCCTCTATTACCTTCCTCACTCTTTGGATTGCCGCCACCCAATCCAATCCCTCCCTCCTGCCCCCTTCCTTCATTCCGCATATTCCTCATTTCTATATCTACGTACTGTCTTCAATCTTCTACATCCCCTAGAGAGCATGGTTGCTCATCTAGACCGCTACCGACCGCTTACCTGTCCAAAAGGCGAATATATTTCTTTTTTGGACCCCTAATGATATCGTGTCAAAGTGAGAGTCCGCAAAGTTGCTATCAGCGTTGAAGCGTCGATGAGAGTATCACACAATCAGAGATGTCTCGGCGAGTTTGCAGATCACGTAGGGTTATCTCGGTATATTTTTAATATTTTCCCTCTTCGTATGGCTTCAAATGCTTGTATTTTAATTTCTGTCTAGGGCACATTTAACGAACACAGGCACAAATGCGGGTAAGGTGGCACATTAGAGCAACTTCTTGATCTCCTCCCTCAAATCTCTCTTAGGCAATCCGACTTTGGAACTATCATCCTCTTCGC